TTAAATCTTTTCACTAATTTTTGGACAGTTGTGTTACTGGTGACTGATGGTCACCCTGTGCTCAGCTGACATATTTGTGTATCTGTTCTCTTATTTCTGAATATAAACTTGTGTCCTTTTACTTCTGAATAGTTACTTTATGGCTTGAAGTAGTTGTTGTTCTTAGTCCCCATTTTCCATCATACTCTTCTGCACTTTATCTTGTTTGTACAGTTGTGGTCTTCATATTATACCACAAGGACCAGATAATTCTCTGGCCTCTATGCTGACCACACTTATGTCACCAATGACTGTTGTGGTTGCTTTTGTCAAGGTAATTAATAAAAAACCCCAACACTAATAGGGTCAGCCCACAGACTAGTCAGCTGTTATTACCTCATCAAAGTCAATTCCCTATAAATTCATGGTTTTTTTATGAACCCCTCTATTGCTTCCTAAAATGGTTGTTTCCTAAAATGATTGTTTCCTGTGTGTCCTGTAACCAACAGTCTTGAAGAGAGACGGCCCATCTGACTGTCAGGCTTTGGCAGACACAGCACCTCTGCTTTCCTGCCATGAATAATTAGTCCCTTCCCTACACAGTCGAGCAGGTGATGCTCAGATTTTCCCACAGCAGCTGCATCCATGGATTTGCTGGCCTTATAGAAGACATCAACTGCTTACAACAATCAGTAATTAAATATTTACAAGGGATACCACTGAACAAAAACAAATTCCAGCACAAGTTTTTAAAAGATTAAAACAGCTACAAGCAAAGAAATCTTTCTTTTGTACCAGAAGCAGAAAAATGTGTTTCTTTGCTTTCACCACCTCATGCTCACAGGCCAGGCCACGTCTCTGTGCCGTATGTCTGGATGATTCTGAGAGGAACCGAACAGATTATTGCTGCCCTTGATGGTAAACCCTCCACTGCAGAACTACAGAGCAATGGGAAATAGCAGGGACAGATGAGCAAAAAGAGAAAGAGAAGCGCAAGCTAAGGTCAAGCCTGCAAGGAACATATTGAGTAACAATGACAAACCATTTTGAAAAGGTAGGAGGTGCTGGAGCGGGTCCAAAGAAGAGCAACGAGGCTGGTGAAGGGACTTGAGCACAAGTCCTATGAGGAGAGGCTGAGGGAGCTGGGGTTGTTTAGTCTGGAGAAGAGAAGGCTTAGAGGTGACCTCATCACTCTCTTCAACTACCTGAAGGGAGGTTATAGCCAGGTGGGGGTTGGTCTCTTCTCCCAGGCAACCAACAATAGGACAAGGGGACATGGGCTCAAGCTCTGCCAGGGGAGGTTTAGGTCAGATGTTAGGAAGAAATTCTTTACAGAGAGGGTTATCAGGCATTGGAACGGCCTACCCAGAGAGGTGGTGGGTTCACCATCCCTGGAGGTTTTTAAAAAGAGATTGGATGTGGCCCTTAGTGCCATGATATAGTAATTGGAGTTGGATCAGAGGTTGGACTTGATGATCTTGGAGGTCTTTTCCAACCCAATCTATTCTATGATTCTATGAAGGCCATCAACACTCTGAGATGTGATGGTGGCTACAGTGGCCAAGTAACAGCACTGAAGTTTCACAAATCAGCTGGCAGGATCTCCTCCCCAAGACAAAGATTCAATGCTGACATGCCAGGAGGGTTACAACACCCACATCCAGCTGAAACTCTGCAGCAACACTGAAGTAAGTCATCAAGAGAAATTCTGAGTTGCAGCTATTGAGGACAGATTTAATTCTGTTGTGTTAGTTCAAAATTAGGTCAATTTGTTGGGTTTCTAAACATGGATTCAGAACCTTAATTTAGCCACACCCTAAAATGGTGGCCTCTGTGACTACTGTACACAGCTTCACATCCGACTTCAAGGACAGGGTGGAATTTTCAGAACTCTGGAGCTCATCTTCTCCAGAAATCTGTGTAAAAGCATTGCCAGGAATAGTCAGTTCTCGGCTCAAGGAAACTGAAGAGAAACAATTGGGGCTTTTAAAACGAACTATTTCAAATGTGCCATTCCAGGATGAGCCTGACATCCCCACTTCTGGCGTGTCAAGACAGAGTAAAGAAATTCAGAATTCCAAATGCAAATTACACCAGGACAAAAGGAGAGGCAGGCAGTATCCATTAAACATCCGGTGTACTTCAGACCAACACACCAGATAATTTGCACCTCACAGAAGTCCCTTTTACCCTCTAAAACCATCCAAGAAGGTTTGCAAAACTCTTAATAAAACTAGGATACGTAATTGTTGTCTAAAGACATTTTTTAGTCTCACAGTATGGCTAAATTTTAATGCATAGGAAGTACTGGCAACATCTTTATTCCACCTGTAAATGCACAGCTCAAATCTGTAATATGTATGGAACAGTTACAGTACAGGCATAAACAAGTTCTGGCATCAGCAAGTACTATTCAGATGGAACCACTGTTTTTCATCTGTCTTGAGCAAGTTTAACTGCTGGAAACACAAAGAAAAGAAAGAACAAGTATTTTATGGACTACAAAGAAGTAACATATAACAGCACAAAAACTAAATCAAAGCCACAACTTAAGCCTGATAAAAGCTGTGAATTTTGGAGCAGAAGTCTTTTCTGGAAATGGGGTACTCAAACACTGTCCATGATAGGGAAGAGGTACAATGATGGAGGCAAACCCCAAAAGCATGGGGAACAATTTAAAGGCAAAGAAAAAAAAATATTCCTTTTGATTATATTTAAGATATACTTGTCATATGATTGGTGTTCACAGCCCCCAGCCAACTTCCATTAGAGGCAGAAAAATAAACAGACAGGTAAAGCCTGTGATTTTGATTTTAATACAGGTCCATGAGACTGAAGAAAATTCACTACAGAAGAAGCTGCTACTGGCCATGAAGACTCTCTGCAGCTCCATGCTCTTGGTCACCCAAAGCTCTTGGTACAAAGAACTGCAGTGCTGCCTGTGCAGGAGACTTTTCGGTGCTTGGGTGAGACCAGGTTTCCTGCAGGACACATTTGCACTAAGACTTTCCATTAAGTCAGAGCTCTGAGTGACCCCATTATTGGTCCAAGCCTGCTACTGCAAACCATCCCCACTCTGGAGAATCCCACCTGCGAAAGGCCCATCACTGATTCCACACCATACCTGTGTGTGCTCTGGTTTGCTCTGAAAGGAACAGACACTTTTAAACCATGAGCTGGAATCCTCAGTTCAGTAAATGTCAGTAGAAAGCATCCAAAGCTTTAACATGAAATATATTCTACTTGTTTTGCAGACTGTAAAGATAAACCAGGAATAAATTAATTCCTGATAGGAGAGCTCCTTGCTCCTACAGGGGGAAGCCACAAAGACCCAACACTTCCCATCCTGGGTTCATAGAACACACACACTGACTGCAAGTTCTCCAGACCGGCTTACTGCCAGTTTACTTTTTTGTTTTTACACTCAGGAAACAACAGCTTACCCATTTCAAAAGAAGCATTAAGGGAAAATGTTAATTTTTTTCACACACATCTTTCACCAATATTAGCTGCCATGTCTACACGTGCCGGTTGGACAAGACCAAGTTGTATCAGGCACTCCTTTACTACACATGTACAAACACAGGGTCGGCTGGACCAAACTCGGTCCCTGAAACTATTACAATGTGCAGAAGACTGAGGGAAAACAAAGAGCTTCCTTAGAATGTATAAAGAGAGAGTCCAACAAGAGCTTTGCTGCACCCAAGAAGGATTTTGGATTATTACTGTAAAAGGACATTCAGGCTGTAAAAACCAAATTACCAAAAATCTTAGAACTGTCAGAATAAAACACGCATCCAAACATGCCCCCCTTCCTGCTCAGCTGTGCCCTCCTGGCTTGGATCCCATTTCTCATTCAGCACAACACACTGTGCTCCAGAACCACACCAGGGCAGCGGGGAGTTCTGTCAGACCCTGCCCTGCTGCAGCTAAAGCCACAAAAACAGGTACCTGAGGAGGCCCTCACAGGTACAGGTATTCCAAGCCTCCCCTTCAGATGGGATTTCTTTAGGAATTCTTCTGCAATACCATCCAAGCCACTGAGACCAAGCATTTCACAAGCTGTTCCATCTACAGCTTTCAAAGGCACAAGACATTCCAATTTACCAGGGAATATAATACATGTTGTAATCACTGTTGTATAAAAACACTAAGAAAAAAATAAAACAGATGATACTTCAAATTTCAAGTTGAATATCCAGAATAATTTTTGGCTTTATCTACTTTATTGTGTCATCACCTTATGGAACACCACCCTGCCTCATGTAGATGTTTGTTGTTGTGTATGTTCAGCACAAACAAGATCCTAAAATACATGAGGAATTCTTTTCCACGAGAGAGTTAAATGGCTTTACCACCTAAAGCAGGCACTTACAAACCAGGTCAAAATTAGAAAGCACGCTTGCTCTGTGTGCACGCACTGGATACTGTCCCGGGGCACTGAGGTACCGCGGCTGTGGGCAGGGCGGGCACAGAGCGGCTCCCGCTCTCGGGTGCGATGGTGTGTCATTGTCCGGGCCATTTAAAACACAACCGCGCCCGCCCCGCTGCTCGAGCACCCAGAGACCGCGGAGGGAGATCGCTTCCGTGATGCACCGAAAACACGCAAAGCACACGAGCGACAGGCCCCTGATCCAGGCTCTGCTCCCGGCAGGAGCGCAGGCCGGGGGATTTCACGGGATCCCTCCCTTCCACGGCCCCCACCCGCCCAATTCACAGGCCCGGTGCTTCTCCAACACTTCATCCAGCCCTGACCTCTTAACTCAATATAGTAAACGACCCGGGCTTGTTTCAAGCTGGCAGATTTCCCGCACCAGACACATCCCCTGAGCAGAATATTTAATTTGTACCACACCGCGTGTTCCGTTCGAGCCCGGGGAACAGCCCCGGCCCCGTGGGCAGGGCCCGCAGCGCTGCTGACAGCGGCCCCCAAAGGGCCGCGCTCCTACTCAGCCCCCGCCGGCCCCGCCCCGGCTCGGTGGCCCCGGGGGCGCGGCCCCCGCCCCGCCGGCCCCTCTCACCAGCTCGGGCACTCGAACAGGGCGCCTCCGCCCGCCGGGGCCGCGCCCGCCGCCATCTTGGCTCTGCCCCATTCAGCCGCCGCGGGGCACCATGGGAAGGGCGAGCTCCCGGCGGCCCCCGCGCGGCACGAGCGGGGCGGGGCAAGCGACGGGCGGGGCTTAAGTGGACACGTGCTCCCGCTACTGGCCCCGCCCACGGCGCCCGTGCTCAGGGGAGGGGCCGCGACAGGGACAGAGCTGAGCCGGGGCAGTGCCGGGGACAGGGACAGGGACAGGGACAGAGCTGAGCCGGGGCAATGCCGGGGACAGGGACAGGGACAGAGCTGAGCCGGGGCAGTGCCGGGGACAGGGACAGGGACAGGGACAGAGCGGAGCCGGGGCAGTGCCGGGGACAGGGACAGGGACAGAGCGGAGCCGGGGCAGTGCCAGGGACAGGGACAGAGCTAAGCCGGGGCAGTGCTGGCGACAGGGAAGGGAGAGAGCTGAGACGGGCCACGTAAAAGCCTCCTCTCTCCGGGAGGCCGGAGCTGGCGCGGGGCTGGCGCTCAGAGCCCGAACACCCACCACGGGCACCAAGGAACGCCCATCCCTGCCCGGTGCCCCGGATCGGCGGAACACCCGTGTCCGAGCCGGGCACACCGCACTGCAGCCCCAGCCGGGGGGTGCCGATGGTGAGTTTTCACACCCAGGAACCTCAGTCAAGACTGTTACAAATGGCTCTGCAGCAGTTGCGCTGCTCCGATCAATGATGTGCAGAGAGAGGAGGCAGTTCAGGCAGTTACAGCAACTCCGAGCCCAGAAACCTGGACCAGTGTCCTCAATTCCAGTTTCCGGAGGATTAAAACAGGCTAGAGGAAGGATGGAGCCTACAAATAATGCACCAATGCTCCCTTTTGGGCTTGGTGAGGAGGAAAGTGCTCTCATTCTGACACAGCAGTGTGACACCCAAAGGACTCTGCCCTGCAGCAGGCAGGCACAGACCAGCAGGTTCCACCCTTTTCGAGGAATACTTTAAAAAAGGAGCAGAACGACACACAGTTCCCTTGCTTTAAAGTCAGATTTTACTGTACAGGCTCAGCAAAGGTTCCAAGTTTTAGCAACAGGCAAATAGTCAAAGCTGACCCAACACTGCTCTGGGGCATGAGATTAATTTTTCTGGGATCAGCTACTGTACAGGACTTTGCACAGGAGTATTGTGTGTGTCCTGTGAAAGGAATTACGTGTTTTCACCTACAAATCAGGACCACTGAACTAAAGCTACAGAAGACACTACTGTGCTGATGTAAAGTTTTCTACTTTGCTTACAGAGGGAACTGCAAACACATCTGTGCCAGTGTAAGTGCAAGAGAAAGGAGCTCTGACAGAGGCTTTTAAAAAGTGTTTATTGATGATTATTAGACGGAATGATGGCGCAATAGTGCAAACCACTGTGCAATTGGGAGAACACTCCCTTCCCAGCTTTCACATTTACTTTATTATAGAGAAGACATGGAATAAAGATAAATACAAAATGGGTCAGTATGCTGCATTTACCACACTCCCTTGGGCTTTGGACAGATTATGGTTCCCTCAGTGCATGTCAGTTCAGAGTTACACAAAATGGGGAGTGGCTGCTGTGTTCTGCCCAGCTCTCTGAGCTGGAATGAGCAATCTTTTCATTTGCACACATATCCTCAGTCTGAAAATCCCAGCACTTCACTCAGCCAGTTTCTGCATTTTCTGTTTCATAAAGAATGGAAAATACCAGATGATCACAAGCCACACATAATATTTACTAACACACTACAAGTGAGCATCAAAAGTACTACAGAAGCAAGATTTCTGCTAACACTCATCTATCTTGCTAGCTTGTAAACTTAGGTGCCCACTTCCTCATCTTTGTGTGATTTTCTTCCTGAAAGCTTCTAAAAACAACTGGGAGTAGCAGCTAAACTTCGTATACCTAGTGCTTGACAGTCAGCATTGGAAGAGATTTATTTGTCCGCTAATAAACAACCAGATAGTTTGTGTAAGGAAGTTGCATTGTTAGACTGTAAGTCAAAGAACATTCTGTCCTCAAATGATGCATTTTGGGAAAAACTAACCTGCAACCACACCTAAAAAAATTAAACAACACAGTTACAAGTCTCAAGGCTAAACTGACCAGCACGCAGTGGTTCCAACCATCATCCACACATACTCTCCTTGCCTCTTGAATCTGTATCATCACCTTTCTCTTCAAGAGAATCTAGAACCACAGCCACTTGGAGACAATAAAACCACGGGGCAGATACTGGAGACTTTAGAAACTGCTGGATTTATGTAATGTGACTTGGTGGTGTGCTGTCTTTGAATGTCATTCTCATTCCAGTCCAACAAAGTTACCTACACATACAAAATGTTAAAGTTGTGCCACTTGTCAAAAACAAGACATCTCCAATTATTGACCACACTTCAGCCTACAGTTGGGACAGGGAATAATACATTACAGAAAGCAAAACCACAAGGTTTTAGTTACATAAAACAATATAATTTGTATATAAACTGATAAATACCGTCTCCATGGTTCACTAATTCCAAATACTAGTTATCTGCACATTAGTTGCTAATATCTATTACTAGAAGTAGCTCCAGCTCGTGCTTTCAGGGTGGTCAATTCATCTCCGAGACTAGTCAGCTTGTTTGCTCTGAGAGAAAGAAATCTCAGCAGTGAGACTGGGTTCCATGGGAAGATTTCATTTGGTTGCCCACCAGATAATCACTCCTATGATTAGACAGGCCACAGCAAGGCCCAACAACAGGATACAGATCTTCTTACGGGATTTCTTCTAATAAGAGAAGAAAAAAAAGCCACTGACACCAGGAACAGTTGACAAGAGCTAAAAACAAGACCACCATTCTGGTTACTGACTTTGGTGAACCAGAGCACTTGACACCCACAGTTACTCGAGAGAAGTAACCAATGTAGTCTGAACACTTTTACATGTTCCTTAAACTGCATGATTCTACAGATGAATGTTTTTAGTTTTAGAAGTGCAATGGTCAAATTGATGCAGTTAAGTCAAAATGTGACAGGTTTTGCTTCTCTTAAGGAAAATACAAGCCTCAGAGAAAGCCAAACCTTTCTAGCTATTTAGATTTTTCAGGTAAGCCTAATCAAACTCCCAAGTAGTTCTCTGATACAATCTCCACTTGGCCACTTAGGCTTGGTGTTGCATTTCTACAGTTTCAATGATTTCATGTACAGTTATTGTACTTGGATTTGGCAGCATTGCTCACTTCATTCATCACAGGAAACTACAGTCAATCCACATACACCAAATATTTTTAACTTGGTATCTAAGGATATGAAGGTAGTTCCATATAACCACTTCCTTCTCCGTCCAGAAAAAACACATCCAAAACATGTCCAATAGCTCTCAAACTTAAATTTATAAACACCTTAAAACTTCGTAAAGGAAGCCATGGAGAGAGACAATACTATTAAATGCTGCCAGATGGTAAAAGATACTTTTCTTCCTTACATTTAACAGCGCTGGAGTTTTATTGCTTTCCAGTACCTCCCACTTAACAGCTAGGAAGAGTCCAATATTATCTTGTGTGGAATTCTGAAGTCCCAGCAGTGACTAAGCAGAACCCTTAGTCCCTCACAGAACCTGGACCTACAGGGACAAGGGTGATGAAGGGAACCTACAGAAAACATTGACTGTAACCCAACAATGAGAGCCACTGCGAGAGACCTGGTGGGACAGGGAGGACAGACTATGGGAGAGAAACTCAGCAGAGGGAAAGGAGTGCTGCAAATCCTAGTCACCAGAAGTTTCCCAAGTCTGGGCATGGATTTTTGTATGTCAGTGTCTTGGCTGATATGTTTACAAGTTGGATACAACATAAGAATTTGTTCTTGTTTGTTCTGCTAACTCCTAAGAACAACAAAGACAGGTAAACACACTTGCAGAGTACATTTATATGAAGGGTCAGACTGTCTCCTCTGAAGTAGAAGGTGAATTTCAATACTGTGTTTTTGACTCAAATGCTTTATACATTCTTTGCAGCCAATTTTGAATGAGTGCCAGCTTGCACAAGCTGGTTTTAATAACTAGTTTGGTGTGCTGCAGGCCTCAGTATGTGTCTTGTTCTGCCTGTTCCATTATTGCTCAACTATACACTGACAATAAAACAAGCACACAGAATTTACCTGATAATAGGCAGCTCTCTGTAACTGCTCACTGGCTCTTTCCACATGAACTTCTGCACTTTCCACATTTGCCTCTATGCTATCTATGGAAAAAACACGAGAACTCACTGTAAAATATTTCAGAGCTTCAGTGTTTAAAAATTCCAGAAATACAATACTTTTAATGCAAAATACTGTAAAATTTGAACACATAAGCAAAACTTGTAAGTGAACTAAGAAGAAACTTATTATCCAAAGGCACTTACCAATCATATCTCCTTGGTCATGAATCATCATGGCTAAATCCTTAAATATCTGATTGACATCCAAAATGTCTGCCTGAAGACAACAGTTTAACAAGTTACAGAAAACACTGGGTACAGTTTTTCTAATCCTCACTCAGTACCTCTTTTGACCATTGTTCAAAAGCTCACAATAGACACCAGCATTCACTGACTGAGGTGCCTTGAAGTTACTCTCTGCGCAACTTGGGATTAACACAATACTCCCGCTACTGAATATTTGTTTCACGCCACTAGCAATTAACCCAGTATGGAACAGAGATGAACACCGCAACATGAGTTGCTCTGGCCATCTCTGAAGGACCACCAGTCAACACTGAAGGTAAATATACCCCTTCGACAGGAGCAGCGAGATTGATCTTGGCAACAATCCTCTCTACAAGGAACTCTGTTCCTCCACATTCAGCTCTCCTCAGCCCATCCCATTAGTTAGCACTGCACCCCTTTGATTTATCTCCCAATACTGTTAACTGTGCAGGAGCTACTGGTCACCTCTAATTGCCTGATTGCAGTTTCTCTTTCTTTAATGAGTTCAAGGTCCTGTTCAGTTATTGCCACATCTTCTTCCTGAGACTGCATTTGATTCCAATCTTCACCACTGCAAAAGAGGGGGGAACAAAGTATGACTCTCTCTCTGACTATAGGTACTTCCAC